AGTTCCCTCCAAAGCCCTGGACAGATGCTAGAAATACTCACATGAGGATAATGCACGAATGAAAAAGACCTACTAAAATCCTGCTTCCAAACCATGGTTCATATCACTTTGTTTCAACACATATATGCACTGCAACCACTGAAACTTCAATACAGTGTATTGTACTACTGTCTCAGCACATTCTTATTGGATGACACTTTATATGAACACGTGTGAAATCCATACCGGAAGACTCATTTGTCACACATCTCTTGTGCGAACAAGGATTGTTCTGCAGTTGCTTATGTTATTTTAAAATAAAATAAAATAAAATAATACTGATGACAAGACACTAATAAGGATAGTTGATCTGATTTAAATGGCAATTGCTTGCTCAGCTATTTTACTAATAAGTGATAACTGTAACCTGTAACCAAATATAGTTGCTGCCTGATATTTGACCAAGGAGTTTTAGTGCTCTTACTTTTTCATCAGGTTCTTTCCTGCTGTTCTCCAGGGAAGCTTTTTTTTTTTTATTAAATAAGTAAATAAAGTCCACAACATGTCCAGCATGAAAGCAATCAGGATTGAGCCTCCTCTGCTGCACTCCACATCTTACTGCAATTTCCTTCTGAATCAAATCTTTCTACTGAAACTCCTGGCTTAACCTGTCAGGTCTCAGGATCAATCCAACCTATATCATTCAAACTTTCTGTACTTTTGCAGTAACCTCTTCAGAAGTCCAAATAAGTCAGGTATACACTGTACAATTTCTTGTTTTGACATACTAGCTTTCCCATATTGTAATTCAGATCAGAGCATTTCAATCTAGTCACAACCACATTGTCCTTTCACATTGCTTCTGCATTATGTAAGTAAACAATGTGAGTAGAAAAGGAAGCTCCATCAGCAGCCCAATTACTAAATTTAGCTCCCCTGTCTCTTTTCAATCACAGCTTTTCAAGGGTAAGCTCTACTATCTCACAATGATTCTTCACATACATCACATCTCTCCACAACACACAGGGAATCCTGACAGCATTGTACCCAGGCAGTCTCTGAGCTCCCCAAGAAAGTGGTCTATGGCTGCTTTATTCAAAAGGTAAAGAAATATGTTCTGTGGATCTTCACCCTGGCAAAAAAAAAACTTAGTGTAAGCAGAAGGTCTAGAGAATCATAAGAAAGACTGCTCTGTCTTGAAATCCATAATCACAAAACAGGAAGAGTAACAGTTCCTTATGTTCTTTATTCCCCAACACAGAATTTTTTTGTCAGGTCCAACCCAATCCAAAGTGGCTATTTTTCCTTCAGAGATGTAAATTCCTCCTTATGCTGCAGATCTACATATTTCCAAAGAGTATTTACACCAAATTGAACTGAAAAATGTACATTACTGAAAAAATTACAAAATATCCTTCCTTGTTTAAATAATTCATTACAATTTATCTCAGAAATGATGTTAACCTCTGCAGTCCTTTAAGGATACTGGGAGGGCATTAGTAAAGAACCAAGCAAATTAAGAAGGGAGAGGGATAAAAATGAACACTGCATTATCCTGGCACCAGGCCAATGTATATTTTTATTCTTTTTCTCTAGTAATTCCACTTATTTCATATTATATGGTTATTTTATATTGTTCTTTTAAAGGGAAGAGGTCCAAATAAATAAACTTTCTAGTTTATGTCTTAAATAAAATTAAATGCAAATACATACAAATTCAAAAGAACACGTAATCAGATAAACATCTCTTATCACATCTTCATGTCTTTCAAAAGGTTTAAATGTTAAAATGCCCACAATGTTAAAATGTTGGTTCTATATACACAGCAAATGTTTCTCACTAAGAACAACCAATCTCTCAGAAGAGTAATGTATATTCCAGATTCTCTCAGTTTTCATTAGTACACTATCTCAATTTCTCCAGGGAAATTATCTTTGAACAACATATCACTCTGCCCTTGGAACCATCAAAATGACATTTGACAAAACTGTGGAAGGCTTGTAAGTTAAATTTAAAACTCTGTTAAACCTTGCTTTGCACATTACATGGAGCTTTAGCCTTCCACAGAAACAGTTAGGAAGGCCAACAACAGAAGCTGGTGGGAAAATTTCCAGAACTACACCATCTCCTGTTTATCTATCTATTGGTAGAAAAGTTTGGGAAGCATATAACCTATCATAAACTAAACCAAAAAAAATGTTACTGACTAGTGTGCTCTTCGTATTATATAAGTAGATCAATATAAATCATATATATATATATATATATATATATTATTTTTATGTCAATGTATTTTTCATGTTTGCCAATGGTATCAATAGCTCATTGTGTTATAAAAGCACTATAGCATTTTTCTAATCATTCTAATCATGAATAAAATGACAGCTAAGAACATATTGATTAGAAGAAATTAAAGAAATTAAAGAAACAGATCTGTTTCTTAAATTAAGTTTTGATCTTAATGATGTTTCAAGCTGCAAAAACTTAACACTTCACTGAAATACTACAATAAACTCTAATCATACGCTACAAGTTATCTAGGACTCCAGGGATGAAAGTTGGCAGGGTTATGAGGACAGTTTGCTTCAGCTGGTGTTTTAGGTCAATAAAACATAACAGAAATTGCACCTCCAACTGCTGAACAAATGTTTCTGCATACCAATCATTGAATTCCAGTGAAATCAACCATAATGACAACTGCATAGCATAATGTCTTTCTTTAAGCTCTCTCTGGCTAGGGAGATTTTCAATAAACGTTGAATATGATAGAAATTGTAGATATGAAACTCTGATAGAAATGTCAGAGCAATCACATTCAGACAGCAACTCCACCATAGCTAGATCCAGAGTAAATGCATTTAATTACTTTCCAGCAGAAATAAAGATGCTTGAAATAAATGGTTTCAATATTTTTTATAATTCAGGTGTAATAACATTGTATTCAAGCACATTAAAACATGCTTGTAGTAGACAAACAATAAAAAGAAAGTGTTCATGTGATTCATTATTGCAATTGATAAGAGTCAAATTTCAGAACCAGAAATTTCTGTTGCTGGAAATGAAGTTTTGATTGCGTTGTATATTAAAGCACATCAGGAAAAAAAAGCCTTGTCTCATCAATGTCTTAGTAGTGAGACATTTTTTGCTGTATGGTCTGAAGGCATTCACATCAGAAACTCCTCTGACATGGTTGAATTGTAAAACATGAACTGTACTTGGTTTTGAGATCAAGATACGAAATCTCTCCCAAACCAGTGAGCTCTGCTCACTGCTATTCTCAGTTCAACATGAACTGAGAATAATGCCACTCAAAAAGTAGGCATTCAAATAAAAAGTCTGAAAACTTCAGAGCTGAGCACATTATAAAGGTATATTGGAGATTTGCCATGATTCCAGCCATATGCGCTGCATGGCAACATGATACATGGAATCATTTCTGCAAATGCAAAACCTTGGATACCTGGAATCTGCCTAGACAGCCGTTGCAGCATACACCCTCCTTTACATTCTAATCCAACTGGTCTGTGAAAAAGTAAACAAATTCTACCTTGATAATGATTGAAAACCAGGCCTGTTTCTGCCTAAAGCAAAGCAACTTCAGCACAGGAAGCGAAATTTAGTTGCACCTTAGCCATGCCACATATTAATAAAATCTTAGACCATTAACATGTATTGTGGTAAATAATTTCTCAATTTATACTAAGTAAAACAAGAAAGAAAAAATAAATTTTCACTCTTTAGATCAGATAAGAGAATAAAAAAATAACTTCAGCCTCTCTTATTTACTGTTTGATGAAATCTCATTATCTCAAATGTTTGAGGCCTGGTTTAATATTTCTTAATACTCAGATTATTATTACAGTACTTCAGTGTGACAACTATTTTGCTTCCAAAAGCACCACAAGAGTGTACGGTTGCCTTGACAGAACAAGCAACTGTGCTTGGTAGAAACAAAGCACATGCCACAAAGGTCCCTGAAACATTTCTCATCTCTCTATTTGAAAACCAAATACACCTGCATTTTAATAGCGAGAGAGAGAGAAAGGTCGGTTCTGATAGACTAGATCTCAGGTCTCCTGATAGCTCTTGCAACACTGTTCAATTTAGTAAGCAACATTTTAGGGGTTCACTGTAGCGCAGCAAAACTCTGTATAACTTGGGGAAAAACAAAACAAAACAAAACAAAACAGACAAACGAACAAAAAAAAAAAAAGTAAAGCTGAAGATTTCATTCACAAGATTGAAGCCAACAGAAAGACTCCCCAGGAGCAGAGGACCTGTTTGGGCTATGAGAACATTACCAAATAATTTAAACATTACTCAAAAACAGTGCAGAAGCACACTTGCAAAATTAATCTAAAACCTCAGAGAAACAAAAATGTGTATCTGATTAGATCATGCTACATACAAATCCAGCATACAAAGTATATACTCACATACACCTCCCTTCAAGTTTAATCTGGTTCATAATCTGGCCAACACAAATTGCTAAAAGATTCTGAACTAGTAGCTGAAGCACTGCAACCTGTCCTATTATGTTTGCAATAATAGTAAAACTGGTAACAGTAAAGTGTAAGTCTCTAATTGTAAACATACATCTCTCTGTATATTCTTGTTATTGCTCACTTCATTATTCCCTGAGTTGGGCTGTCTACCAAAAATTTATTCCCGGGTGTTGAACTCCTAAAACAGAAAGAAAGAAACAAAAGAAACGAAAGAAGGAAAGAAACAAAAGAAGGAAAGAAAGGAAAAACTAATGACAAAAACAACATGTAAGTTTAATATGTTGCTAACAAGTATTTTTTTCTTACAAACTTTTGACAAAAGCATTCATTCACCATGAAGTTTCTGATCTAGAAATGGAATGACCAAAAGCTTTACAACAGAATCAAGCATGAAGGGAAAAAAGGGGGGGAACGTCAAACAGAAGTTACTGATATGGAATCAAAATGACCAAATAAATTAAGCATCAATGAAAACCTTGGTCATGGGAGGACCAATTAAATAGGAAAATACTGACCTGGAAGTCAAGCTGGTTGGAGTAGGGATGAAATCAGCAGTTTGGAGAAAAACAGATAGGGAGAGAGACAGCAAAAGAGAATAAAGGGAGGAACACATTAGTTCTTTAACAATATAACAAGTAGATGTTATATCAGTAAATTTTATCCAGAAACAAAAAACAGAAAATGAAACAAAAAAAAAAAAAAAGAGAGAAGGAAAAGGAAAAAGGGAAAAGGAAAATAAAATTTCTGCACCAAGCATATCCTTGCTGTACACTGCAACACAATGGATATTTTAAAGTCAACGGCACCTTGTCATTATGGACTGTTTAACGCCATCCATATTTATAGCCATTTTAATGTATACACATACCAACATGGAACAAACAGATTAGCTGTTTACTGGTGGTGTTTGCTGCCACATAAACCATGTCATATCAAACTCCATACCATGAAGTCTTTTTGAGGCCACCAGGGGTTTGAACACTTACATTCACCAAGTTTCTCTTGAAAGACAAAACAGTGAAACAATTTGGCAGTTTGTTAAAGACGTTATTTAGAAGTTCACCCCTCTCCACCATCCCCAGGAAAGAGTCTCTTTTAAAGCTGACAGATTTATTTTTTTTTTATGGTCTGAAGAATAAGGCTAATTCTTCATATTCTACATTACTGCAAATATCCTGGTGCTTGATTATGTATTTTTCAAAAATATCCACCATTATTTCAATTAAGTATGAAAAAAAAAACCCTTGCCTTATACCAAGCTAGACTTGTCACTGGTGCACAATTTTTCACTCATACATGAAAAGTACTTTTTTTCTTTAAGCATGAAAATACTTTCTTTGAACCCTTTTTTTTACATATGCTGATGTTTTCAAGTTTCTGCTATGAATTTTCAGTGCCGAGTGAACTTACTATTTTCATCAGAATTCAAACGCAAAGGAATTCAGAATAAATTAATTGTAGTGTGAATATCCCAAAGCCTTAAATGCACATCTACAGTGCTATTACCCAAAACTTATGAACACACATGCTAAATAACTATACAGACATACCGAAAAATGTGATCTTGACCATGGAATCTATTCAATAAAAACCTGAAAGGCCCTAAACAAAGATGTTCTGCTTCAAAGAATCAGGATGTTCCCATTTACAGTGCAAAATGCACAATCTATGGCAATGCCTATGAGCAAGAACTAGACCAAGGGCTTTTTCATCACCTGTTTGAAAGAGAACTACTGCAAAAAACGTAATTCAGGCCACATCCTAATGGGGTCCTTTTTTCTCGCCTCTCTCTCTGCTTGCTATTCAGCCATCTAGTCTGTGCTAGATGACGCATCCCTGACACTGTCTACAAAATTACACTACATTTTAAAACCAAACTGCTTTTGTCTCATAGATAAAACAGTATTTCTAAATTAACTTACTTAAATTAATATACACATTAGTATAGGCTTTGCTAAGAAGCTACACTCAATCAAGCAAATGACTGACCGGCTAATGTGATGCTGGAGAAAAACACATCAAGCTTTTGCATTCTACTCTATATATTTTCTCATCCTCCATCATCAAGCTCCAGCATTTCACTCTTAAAACAGCAATAGTCTGATTATCTGTTACCAGACAGGTTCATTCAGAGCCAATTCTCTCTGAGGAAGCAGGTAACGTGTTAGTCCTTCCCTAACTCTTACTTTCAGCCTTTGCCCAAGCTCTTTCTCCATCCCTGAGGGTAACTAAAATTAAAAGGCCGCTGCATCCTGAGCTGAGTCTTGCTGTTAGATAGGCAGTCTGGCCTGTCTATTAAGGGTGCTCAAAGCAATTGACAACAAGGGATACTTAAATATGACTCTGCATGAGAAAGTAATTACTAATCTAGTTCTTTTCCTCTAAAGAGACTACTTTCCTGCATGGAACTTATCATTCCACATAATGCTCTTTAAAACAGAGTCCAGAGAACAGCCTAGAATGTTGTTTAACAGCATCAGGATCCAAGAGCAAAGGCAGCCTCTCCAGTCTTTTTCCACATAAAATGTCCTGTTTTCTCCCAGTCCTTCTGATTTAATCCAAAGGCACAATGAAGGCAATGGGGTACCTGCATTTCTTGCATTCTGAGAGCACTTCATTATTGTCCTCAACCCCTAGGAAATCACTTTTAATATAAGGAATGTGTTTGCATAGATATCTCTACAATGCTAAGTAAGGTAAAGTTAACACAAATGCTATACACTTGGGTTGCTAACAGCGTACTGTACTTGTAAGAGCAAAAGACTATGAGGAATAACCTGGTTCTGAGGCCTGAACTCGTCCATGCAGGTGCAGTCAGCCATGTCATAATTAGATTCATGAGTCTATCAAGCCACACCTTAGAAGTAGTTAGGTTTCTCATTCCCTTTTTTTTTTTCATTTAGCAAGCTGTTTCAGAGCCTTCCTTCCTCTGAAAATTAGAAAGCTTTCTATCTTTTCTTTCCCTTTTCAGACTAAATTTATTAATGGATGGCTCATATCCATTGAATTAGGTGCTAACACTCTTCTTTTACTTAAATCACCCTTCTTCCACTGCAGGGCTTACTCATTCTCATATTCACAGGGAACACACATCTCTACTGAGCCTGTTTTGCTAGGGAACTTAACCAGTACTTAAGTTTAGACTCCTCTGACACCAGTACTCCATTTGCCTAATTATCATACCAGCCCTCTCTGCACCTGTTTCCGGTTTCTATTCAACTTCCTTGAATATGACTGTTGAGAAGTATACAGCAGTGTTCCATGTGGTGTCTTGCAACTGCTTGATGACATTACTACTTTCCTATCATTACAGTAACATTTATTCTGACATATCAGGATTCGCTCCTTGTTATTTAGATGGCTCATAACAACACTGCCATAAGCAAATCTATCTACTCTCTCTTTTCCTCAATTGTATCAAGGATTATCCTTAGTGTACAGCTGGCAATTTTACTGGTCCTAACTTCATAGTCATGCATTTTAAACTATTATATATCACCTCATTAATTGTTTAAAATCCCCAGCATACTTCACAAATAACAATACTTTTCATTCTAATACTGCTAATAAAAGCATTAAACAACATACTCAATCCATCCTGACAGTTTTCTCAGCTGCAATATCTCTATTTGGTTAGGCCCTTCACATTAAAATTTAAGCTGATTGCTATCTTGCCCAGTTGTATTTACATTATCAAAAAATCATGAAAGATATAATAGAAATTATCAAACAGCATTAGTAGAAAAGGACAAAGTGGTTCTCCTATGTAGTAGTAATAAGGAGTTATAAAATACAAAATACTTTTGTACATATGTAATAACAAGAAACAGACCTACATGTTTGCGTATATGAGGAAAAGTATGAATCATGAATCTTAAGTGATGAAACTCAGTAGTGTGATCGTTTCTGAGGCAAGAAAATCATATTAAAATCAAAAGAATGATCATTCAGATAAAATCTTCTTCAGTGTTACTAATGTTCATCTGCCAAATAGTATGCAACTCTAAATTTAATTCCTCATATCTAGAAACAGATATTTCTGCCTTTGAGTATTTGAAACTCAATTATATATTCAGCTTTTCTGTGTAAAAGTAATTCATGATCTTGTTTTCATTTTTACTTGATTTTGAAGATGATAACATTATTGCAAATATGTATTTTCTTTTCAGATGAACTGATTTTATACAAGGTGCTGTGATTTTATACATGATGCTGATCAATTTATACATGAATATATGAAATATCATGAAGATATCACAGTTTGCAGTACTCTTAAATATAGCTCTTTTAGGAATTTGTTTATAAATGTTGAGAATTTATGTTGTTGCAATTATCTTGAAATGTAAAAATGATGGCAGAGCAGTGAACATAGATCCCATCAAGCTATTAACCAACAAATATGTTACAAAAGAACATTCATTTTCCTACAAAACACCAGACAAGCCTTGCATCTGTTACAAGATATGTTGAAGATATGCTGTTTCTGAGCAGAAAAAAAATAGAATGGGAGAAAGTAAGGAGAGAAAATAGCAATACAGAGCACATTATATGAATTTAAAAACAGCAGGACAAGAAGGAAAGAACATTTTCAAATTTGCTTCTGTTAAAGTTGCAGTCATTTTCACAATGCCTTAACCCCATAAAGTGGATAAACTGAGCTTTGACTCCACCTCTTCCCTTCAATAATGAGCCAATCAAGTAGTCATTAAAATCAGAAAAAGCAGTAGCACTTCATAAAATGTTACAGTAATTTACACTCCACCGAACCCCCTAGAAAGGGGAATTTCAACATCAAAGTTCCCTGTCTAGGGACGCCAACGGGTGGCACAGTTATATAAAGATTTAGATTTTTGGCCAATATTTTTCGAAAATGAGGAAGAGGGAGGGAAAACAACTTAAATTTTAGAGAAACCCAAGGTGATCCTGATTAATAGGAAGAGTTAGATACTCACTGTCTAAAAATATTTCCCTATTACAATATTATGTTGCTGACAGTTTGCTAGGCTTGCTGTACCAAACAACCACTTTGTGTCTGTCTCTTGGACGTGTTGGAGGTCTCTTCCAACCTAGATGATTCTGTGATTCTGTGATGTGATGAGAAAAGTAATTACTAAGTTTGTCCTCATGTAAACAGATTACATGTCAAGTACAAATCTTTATTTATCACTTTAAATTTGAGGTCTCTATTCTCATGGCACATTGATTGATAACTACATACCATTCCTTATTATTATTAAATCAAACCTGTGCCAAATGTCTTCAGAAAAAGGTAGGTTTTGGCAACAGAACTGTGGAGGTTGTTAAGTCATCATCAATAGGAGACATTCTACAAAGCTTCCTTTCCAAGGTGATTGTTTTGCTCCCCCTAAGGTAACCAATATTTCTGACAGATCTTCCTGTTTCATGGTAATTCTCCCTAACAGGACATAGCAGTGCTATGTCTTGATGGGAACTATAACAATAAACAGAAGATCTCTTAAATTGCAATTTTGGCACACTGAAACCTCTTTTCTTCCAACTTGATCACTAGAAAGCAGTATGTAAAACATTTGAAAAAGTAAAATTCATTTACGTAAGAGTGCTTAGGAGTACGGAAAGAGAACAAAGAATTCAGAAACACAGAAATTTCTCATCAAACAAATGGCAACTTTATCTCAGATTATTTAATTACAAAAAAGGGCATGAGACAAATTGACCCCCAAACCATTCTATCTCCATTAAGGAAAGACCATACTACCTTCCCACAATTAAGAAAAAAAAAAAAAAAAAAAAAAAAGGTCAACATCAAAAAACACTCATCTGAAGAAGGCAACCATTTCTCAGAAAACCACTAAGAAATACTGACAGCACAAGAGCAGAAATACTTACCAACGCTTTTCAGGACCTCTTAGAACTAGTGATCCTGTTTGCATTGAAGAAACATATATGGGGACAGCTTTGATTTACCTGTTACTAGAAAGACAAGGCTGTTGCCCTAACAGGAGGGCTGTCACTGTAAATTGTATATGGCTTTTCCTATGTACGTTCTTTTTATGGAGACAGGAGATGTGATTCTTAAGTATCAATCTTTTTCACTTCTGATACAATTTTACAAAACATCACAAATGTCCTCTTAAAAACATATACATGTATTCTACCCTTAACTTCTCTTCTCTTTAGTAAAGATCAAGTACATAAAAATGCCACTTAATAGAAAACAAATAATACAAAAATTACCTTTCTAACTCAGCAATTTTCTTATCTTTGTCATTCTTCTCATTCTCTACTTCCTTGAGTATTTCTAGAAGTCTGTCAACCTCGGCCTGCGCTTTGCCACATTCTTCTCTATAGTATGATGCCTCTTTGTCAAGCTGTTTCATTCTGTCTGCAAATTCCGGGTTCATCCGTGCCTCCTCTTCAGCCTCATGAGCCTTCAGAATCAATATTAAAAATAATAATAATAATAATACTGACAGTAATTTACATAGCTTTAAGAGCTTTGCTTCTTCAATCTTGGAGTTAAAATTTTCATTAAAAAGGATTATAGGTATTTCTGTCAGATAATATTTTTCTACAGAAGTTTTATAAAAGGAATTCAAGTACCCTCACAGTCTAAAATTACTTTCAAATGCTATCTTACCAAAGCTTCATCCTGTAGTGGGAGGGCATTTATTAAACAAAAAGAGTGCTGTTTGGTTGGTTGTTTTTTTTTGTTTTGTTTTGTTTCTTAACATGACCATGGTTTAAGGCTGTTGTTTTGTTGTTTTAATTTAAAAAAAATCACCTTGTAACTCATTTAATTCACTTCATGCTTCTTAAGTCTTTCAAATGTATAGACACTCTCTCTCCATACATGTATGCTTTTTTCATGAGCATACACAGATATATATATATTGTAATCTGTATCACCAGATGTTTCAAATACAGCTTGATACTAAGAATATGAAAGTAAGAAATTGTTTATATGCAGTGCTGCTTTCAAAAGAAAAACCAATGAACTAAAAAGTTTCTTTCAGCAGACATTTTACCAAATAATCCTTTTTATTTTTATCTTTTTTAATTTTATTTATTTATTTATTCCATTCTCATGAATACTTAGCCTGAAACATCAGAAAACAAGCTCATTAGTGACAATGGCACAAACCTGGCAAACACATGCATGGATGGGTGGCAGTTTCACAGACAAGAACAAATGCAATGAACACAACAGTGCTGAGCCCAATCATACATCCCATCAAATCTAATGGCAAAAACCCAATTAACATCAATGGGAGCATGATCAGGCATCAAGTGCTTCAAACTGTTGGCTGGTATAATCACACACAGATGGAAACAACAATGCACTGCAATGCTTCGCCTACCCCTTGCTTCCCATTATTCCTAATTGGCATCTTGAAAGAGCAGGCAAGGAAAAAACAAGTAGTTTAATGCAGTGCACATTAAACATAGAAAATTCAGATAACATGTTCTTAGTATACAAAAATTTTACAGAAATTCAGGATGTTTAGAACTGAAAGTCCTCCAACTATCTTATTATGCAGAAGAAAATTGGGATTATCTTCTTAATTTCAGGGAATAGACGATGCAAGCAAGCAATGGAAGAAATGCCGGTCAAAATGAAACATGCATGTTTTGGAAAGAATTAATATAAAATACAGCTATTAGAAGGTTCATATTCTTTGCAATGGTAAAATTTTCTGTATAAATAAAGAATAAGTCTGGGTTTAGTATAAATACAACAATAAAAAATGAGAAATGAGATTACTGGAAAGAAAATTAGGAATTTTGTTCGTAACATATCATTTAAGCATGAGGATAGTAAGAAAAAGATAGATGATTTCATGTTTTATTTATCCCATTGTGAGATTTTTAATCAGAAGGAATATTTAGTTACCAATACAGGAGAAGCCATAACAGGAATTACCATAATAGGAGAAGCCTACAAAACTTACGAGCCTTGCTCTTCAAATATTCCAATGTTGCTCTTCAAATGTTCTATTTGGGATGCTCAAGCCCTTATAAAGGAGTTTCCTAACAGAGCTCATTTCAAGGTAATACCCACAGAGATGTTAGCAAGAGATTCATTTTCATCCTCCTACATCTCCCTGATTTAATATTAAAGTTTGATTTATTTTATGCTGAGTTTTAGCTGTGTCAAGAAATTTACTTTCAGCTAGCTATGTAATTTTTTAATTAAAAGCAATATGCAGACTGCCAATTATTTGAGACACTGGGTACCATTTCCAACCTGCACACTACTTCCATTTTCCACCAGTTCTATTAAGAAATTAGACAATATTTTACCTCTCCAAAACGGGACCTAAGTGTTCTTTCACAAAGAATAAACAAGTGAAGGAGAAAAATAATTCAAATGTTGGTAAATGTAAATTCACTCAAAAAAAGTAGAAAAAAAAAAAAAAACACTCCTCTCTTTAAAATACTAGCAAAACTATGCAAAAGGCATTTTGTTCCATATTGCTCTTCAGATTCCTCCTCATCTCTTAAGGGTATGAACAGAATTTCAGTTCCACTCTAAAGCTATCGCCATTTCATATTCTTCCCTGTCACTTTCCCTTTCTATTAGTTTCAATGCATAAGATGCTTATTTGCTGACTTTGGTTCCATCATTTCATAAACAGGCAGAACACCCACCGTTCTGCATCTAGCCTGCCTTTGCAGCTCCAAAGTGCACTGAACAAATCATCTACTGAACAGCTCTTAACTAAAATGTAACCTGAAACAACAGATATAAATTATATTCTCCAGTTTAGCCCTATAATCCTTGCATAACAACATGCTAAGGAAATTGATGTTAAATGGCAAAAGTATTTTCATTTATTCTGATTTCTCTGGTGTTTATAGCATTCCATATTTGTGGGATGTGTTTTTGGAAACTTCCCTACCACAAACTTGGCCATTTCCCTATAGTTCTCAAAATGAAATAGAACCTATAAAATATGATTTACTCCAAATGATTTAGTATCCAACCTCAACAGGGGTTTGACATGCAGCACAATTATCCATAATGTCATATATAAATCAGCATAAGCATTCATTACAGAGGGAAGAATAAGATTATTCAGAAAGAGAGAGAGAAATCATTTTAGCATTAAAAATGACCAAGTTGGTTGCACATCCTATAGAGTATTTTTGGACTATTTACACAAACAAGAGTTTGTTTGCATAAAGGAGGCAGGAATCAAACTTCTACGGAGGTATTGCCTTAAAGGAGGAGGAAATCAAAGTTAGTAAAAATATGGATAGCAAGAACATGAAACTTTTTTTTAAAGGAGCTTTCCCTTGAAGGAAACCCTCATGTTGCTGACAAAGCTGCTGGTACTATAATTGACCAGACAACAAAATAAAGTCCATATGACAGTGCCAGGATAAAGATATATTTTATTTGCAAGATGTGTTTGGATTTGTATGAGTCACCTTTTTTTTTTTTTTTTTTTTTTTAATATTAATTCTTATATGAAGATCACGGATGATTTGTTTCCAGATGGAACTGGACTTCTGAGGTCAAACAGGAGGCCCAACATAGCCTACTGGTGCAGCTCAACTGACATAGTCCCTACTTCCAACCAGGCAGGCTAAATGTGGGAGAAAGGCTTGGATCACTCCTAATCAGAAGCTGTATGGTTAATTGCATACATCAGAAAGTCCCCATCACTTGCAGTTCTCCTCTCTTACACCTATCCTATTTCTATTTCCATCCTCCTTTTTCTTCCCACGTTCTCTGTTTTCCTAGGGAGAATACATTTTCTATTTTTATGAGGAAGAGTACCTTGTATCATGAGTACCTTTCTGCAGCCAGGTAGTTGATCTATTAATCTGTATTTTTAATGCTTACATGTGCAGATTAGACATAGGAAACACAATCCAAAATTTCAATTTTCACACTGGTCTTATGGTCTTTTGTCTGTCATCTTGTGACTACATTGCATATTACATATTATTTTCCAATTGTTTTATATTTTTTATATTTATATATTCCAATTCAATAAAAATAGCATATTGCTAGGAATTTCATTAATTCTTACAGTACGTATATGTCTGTTCCGATATTTTCCTAAGTACTACAAATATTGTAGAATTAAAGTAATATGTCCTCATGTAAACAGCAAATTTCCTACATGAAAACAATAATAGTATGGCACAAACGTATAACATGAATTACTTAGTGAGTTAAAATTCTATGGTACAATCATGCATGCATTATTCTACATAACAGAAATGGATGGATAGATACAGTATTTCATTTTAAAAGCTTCAGACACATACACAGAAATCATTTGAGTGTTAAATAAATTTAAATGAAATGACTGAATTTACATGCAAGAAATTACTTTGTAAGATCCTTCAAATCTTATTACTTTCAGTAATAGATTAATAAAAAAGCCACTATTTTTGTAGTCTGCTTAAAAATCAAGTTATTTATTTACTTATTTAACACTAGGGGCTGCTGTAAGCAATTTAAAGTAAATTCTACAAGTGTCTTAAATTTGAATCTGACATTGCTCTCATGAAGCTTATGGAAAATAAGTCTTTACTATTGAGGAAAAGATATATGTCATTACATTTTTACTACAGGACAAAAACAATCATGTAACTTGTAGTCAACTTTGCACAAGAAATCATTGGGTATTTAAAATGTTCAACTTTCAAAGCAAACATGAATAAAAATGCACCCAATTTTGTTCACATCTTATTTACACAGGCAAATACATTGTGAAATCATTGCACCTCTTCCACCTCAGTACCCTAATGGTATAAATGGTATAACGCATATAAGAACAAAACATTTCCATCCATTGCTGGATTAAAAACATTGGATTCAGCATTGAAAGAAAGTCTTGGAGCCAATACTTTTCCGACATGGTAGAAAACATGAATTCCACACAAAAAAAAAAAAAAAAAAAAAAAAAAAAGTTATGTTATTACTGTATAGGCTAAAAGAGGTCCACTCAGAGATTGACTGTTATTTCTGACACATTTAAACAAAGGAGCATTAAAATTTCAGTAGACTGCAATCCATTTTTATGGCTCTTAAACAAAAATAATAATAAAAATAAAATTAAAAAAAAGCATTCTGTTAAATTATGAAGCATAATGTACAAACAAGTTGTTTCAGGACCTGCTATTAATGCCATACCAAAAAAAAAAAAAAAAAAAAGTGAAAACTTGGACTTGTGGAATTCAAAAAAAAACATTGTCATCAATTTCAGTGAAGTCACAACCTCAATTTCAAGGTGGTTTGGGGAAAGGAGATCATTCTCAAAAAAAAAAAAAAAAAAGAATTTTTTTCTTTCAATAAAAAAAAAATATTTTTCAAGAAAAGTTTATTGAAGAAAACCAGTTTTGAGGAGGATACACTACAATTACTGTCTGGTACCAAAGGAAAAGGATCTTGCATCCATTATTTCAGAACAGACATGTTTGTATTTCAGAAAATTAAGCATGAAAAGCAGGGGAAGAAAAAAAAAAGTAAACTGTCTGACTTTGGAATATCACAGACAAATAGACTAGGAATAAACAAACAAATTCCATATAGCAAAGTAACTAATACTGAAATAATGACTGGAAAGCATTTAAGAAAATCAAGAGAAAAGTAACACAAAATAGACTCCAGTCTGAAGAGACGTGCACAGTAGGAGTGCAAATGATATGAATAGGAAATGTAACAACCACAAAGGTGATATGTGATACAGAATAAAAAAGTTTTTATAGTTCAAAGGGGAAAGGCCTGACTAGCAGCATGCTAGATAGTAGAAGCGATAACATCAGACCTTATGCTACTTAAAAATGATTCATGACAGGATTCAAAATAAAGTTAACCAATAATTTCAAAAGTAAATATGGCATATTTCTTGCGACTCTCTTTTCCTATGCACAAATCATGACATATCTACTACATGGCTAGACTTAGCTATAGGAGACTCCAAAGCTGGAATCCTTGTCCACCACTATTAATGGTGAAATTCTGATTTACTTTGGTGAAGGCAATACTTACCCTAATGCACATTATCATATTACTTAATAAAACCTATATATTCCTACATATATATCTAGGCATATACTCCTATATATAGGAATATATACTCCTCCTATAAATACTGTGCCAATTACATGGTAATTCCAGGTATGATTACTGTGTAAACTTTAGTTTGTAAATTGCCATTACAATCCAGTTGCATCATTATTTCTGTCCTGCGATGCTCACAGCACATGTTAAATACAGCTCAGCAAAGAAAAGTTCTCTACAAAGAAAATGTTTATTACTGCTCTTAAAACAGAAAAGGGTACACACTTAAGTCAAAAGGGTCGATACTGTGCGATTAAAGCAGACATTAGCAAGAATAATAATACTAAACAAGTCAAAGTAATAATACTTGGCTTTTTCAAAACTGCTGCTTGCATTCATCATTATATATTTCAGTATTTTCTTGGATTAAAAACTATCTTTTGATATTCTTAATGTATATAAGCTGAATGTGAACTGAATATCACTTTTACGTGAGTAAAGTTGATAAGAATTATTTTAGCGTTATGGCTTTTTGAAAATATTACCAGTCACATCCTAGATACTATTGTTCACCTAATCAATTCAGTCACTTATTATAAAATGACTAAATTAAAAGTTATTTGTTTGAAGGATCAAATAAAGTACTCCACAAGAAGGAATCAAAAAGCTAAGCAAAAAAAAAAAAAAAGGCATGCTTCTCTAATGGAGAAGTTGAGGACCTAAAGGCTAGGATACTTGTGTTTTTAAAAGAAATATAATATGTAGTTTAATACATTTCATATTCTTAAAATGGCCTTGAAGTCCACAAAGTTTACTTATCTGGATATAATGGATACAGCATAGTGAGCATCAGAAATATTCTGCAAAGCTCCACAGAGGAAGAGCACAACAAGAGATAATGGATCCTCATGCTTTTGTATGTTACAGATGGCATTTTTAAAAAGAACTTACTGGATTGTACATCTGATTGAACAACTGTTCAGCTTGCTACATTGCAAAGTTGGAAGGGAGTGAAGCAGAGACAGGAAAAGAGGGAAAGATCCATGAAAACAGCATTAGCTCAACAAAACCAGTGCATTTGCACAGAAGAACTTGTCATTAAAAAAAAAAAAAAAAATAGAAATTTAAGATTCTAAACATTCCTTCGTGAAAGTGAGAGGCACAAGGGAAACATAAATGTTGACTTTGGCTCCTAAAAAAGAATAGCTGGAGTAAGATATTTAACATTTGTGTTACTTTCCCTTTCTCAAGTTAAATTACCCATGAAATAAAGAAAGGGGTCCACTTTTGATGATACATTAAGCGCTGCTCTTAAGCAATGAATCACGAGAAGTGCTTTTGGCTGAGGCTGCAATTTATCACCAAAGCTTCAAAGATGGTAATAATAAAAGATTAATTAAATTCTATCACTAAATTTATTACTTTTCTTTTGTTTAACACAAGACTGAATTTTCTATGCACAATGACTTTTGCACAGTACAGCTTGGCAAAAAGTCCTTTAGTGACTGCAAATATGTCAGTAAGCAAGTAAATTTAAAATAATGACAAACAAAAGGAGGAAATTCTGAGGTGGATAATCATATTTTATATACACACACACAAAATACTTAGCTACTTATTAAGGTAATCCCTACTGTTCTTTCACTAATAACAATACAAGATAAGTCAACAAGAAGTCTATGAACTTATGGCACAAAGTATCAAACATTCTCCTAGTTTTCATTTTTTTATTTGTAACTTCATGAATTTCAATGCTTCATCTTTAGCACAAAAAGTTTAATAAGCATGTCTATGGCTTTAAATATTATTTTGTGTACCAAAATATAGTATAGTAATATGAATAATTACTCTTTATGAACATCTTACTTGTTACTTTAAATTTGTCCACTCTTTAAAATTAATAGTGATTTTAAAATCAGCATGTTTCCTTTTAATGAAATGCAAACAATTCAGCTGAGTAATACTGAAAAATATTTCTATCTAATCAGATTTGATCAAAAGCCTCTTAATAGTCAAAAAATGAATCTTATTCTCTCCAACAACAACAAAAAAAAGGAAAGTGTGTAAACTAGGAAATATAAACTTTAAAAAAAAAATAGTTGTTTATACTTGCCCCTTGCACACATTTTCTTTCAGTCATGGCATTTATTACTGTTAGTACTCATGGAAGAGAGCAAATCCTAGCAACTGTGCACAGATTATATTCATATTTATTAGCATAACTTGGTACAACATAAATCAAAATTTAGCTATGATCATTTTAAAATACCATAATGAAAAAGTGTCTTGTCTATGTTATTTTATAGAGAGGAGTCATATATAAGCTGCACTCAAATTTCTCAAAACAAGAGACAGCCTTTGGAGTCGATTTGAAAAAGATACGTTGTTCAATTCCTCCAAGCTTCTGTAGTGGGTAATGTTCATACATGTGAACATATGCATAAGCACTCATAAGCACACTTACGAGCCGTGCATGTTAATTTACTCTGAATTATATTGATGCTGCCTCCTACTCTAACGCAGACATATACAAGAATAACCCAGTTTTCTATTTCAGTTAGTTTACTAAGGAGTGAAAACACAGTGAAGGTAGATTTCTGGGGACCCGTTACTTTTAACGCAGGATATTTACAGGTCTGAACATAAAGTATTTTATTAGAGAAAACGTGACTTGAAAATTACTGTTTGGAGTCTACTATCATTAACAGTCACTGTTTCTGTTCAAAAAACAGAAACTTCTTCTGCCCACAAAGAAGGTTGTAACTACATTTTATTGTGGAAATACCTGGTCTCCTACAAATGTTGGGTGAGTTTCCATGGGGGCTTTATGCTGTATTTATGATATAATAAAACTATTATGTTTTCAACTTTCATTTAATAATTCTTTGTATTTATACACAAGGAACATACTCCTTTTCTATATGAAAGACATCCCAGACACTCTCTGACTTTTATAAGTGCTTATTTTTCTATGACCATAAGATGTGTTTATATGTACAGCCATGGAAGATTGACTTAGGATTTCAAGTCCTTATGATTATTTTGATTTTAAAGTGATCTGTGCTTTATGCTTTTTGTTTGTTTGTTTCACTAATTTGTTTTTGTTTTTTTTTTTTTTCATTGCAGACAAATAAGATATTTCAGATTGTAAAGAAGTACATTTTGTAGCAAAGTGCAATGTAAGCTGAATTATTTTCAAGCAAAAGAAAACAAAAAAAAAAAAAAAAAAAGACTTCCAGTGAAACAGCTTATTTGGATATTTTAATTCTGGCATCAATAGCACTTACAAGCTACACAACTTATAAAGGAGCTGTATTTTAATTAAAAGCTTTTGTATATGTTAATTTGAAAACATTCCTTTCTTTCATCTCCACAACTAAACATATAATACTGCCAGCTAACTGCACATATTCTTTCGGAATTAAAAATAATAGAATTCTAAGATTTTCATTCTAGTATCCTTTACACTTCGCAGTAACTTCTTCACACGTTAAGGGTATTGAAACTCTGCTTAAACATGGAGCAGGATACTACTCAACCTGTGTAAAAAAAAAAGTCAGAATATTATCCTAACAGTGGTAACATTCATAGAACATATGAACACTTTTCTAGGAAATGAAACATGTTTGCCCTACACTTACTCACGAACTACAGAAGGCAAACAATGTCTGAACCCATCAAATGTGTCATGACATTGGCATTTGAACAATGAGAGCAGACATAACCAGGTGACACAGAAACAAGTCAAAGAAATAATGTATGGTAGAAAAGGCATCCACAACCTTGCAAATCATTTAAGCAAAAAATATATTAATGCATCAATTTAAATAAAACCATGTTATAAAAAATAGAATTTGGATGTTTTCCTTTAAATGTTTTCTTCTTTATTTCTTATTGAATTGCTAGCTGAGGTAAGCTTTCTGTTTGTTTGCTTAATTATCACAAACATACATTCATCAACAAAAAAAAAAAAAAAAAAAAAAAAAGGCAGAAATAAAACCCAACTAGAAATTCCATTTTAGAAGCAGACTTCTTTTTCATTAGAAGGTTCTGCTTTCACTTTTTTCCTCGTACTATGAGCATTTCTATCTACTTCTAATAAAGGTATAAATTCATTCACATAAAAATTGATGGTTCGATAATTTCTCCCTGCCTTTCTACTTTCCCTCTAGTGTCCTGTTCCCAGTTCATTTATTTGAATCAGCTTCTCAGAATTCCCTCATATAGGTAATCAAGATAATTTTGGAGGCTTCTAATGGCTTTGGTACAAGCCTCTTAAGAAAAAGTTAGAAGTATTTGATGCAAGCATCAGCAAACACCATCGGTAGATTTTAGATTTACTCTAGAAGAGTAAACAAGTTCATCTTTTCAACATGAGAGCTTTGGGTGTGGTCCTTTCTTATTTTTTTTTTCCCTGATTATTGCTGGGTTTTGTTTGTTTTTAAGATGGAACTTACCTTTTTCAACTGTGCTTCCAACTTACTACACTCTTCTTTCTTTTGTTCTATGGCTATTTCTAAAGACTTAAGTTTGGAGTCTCTTTTCAGCCCTGCTGATGCCAATGAAGATGCATGTTCTTTGAGATCGATTAAACTAGACTGAAAAATGACCAAGAGCAAAAGGTTAATTCCTAGTCACCACGACACTAACTTATTGCCAATTTAGTAATCACTTGGATCCTGTTCCCCCTCCCCTTCCTCAAAAAGAGTTGACACAAGGATAAGCATGTTTAGCCAAAGACAGCATTTTGAGAATACAACCAAAAAGAATCACAGGAGCTTGCATGCAGTGAAACACTGAAACATTCATAATACAGACAAGTTGACATTATTTTCTGGAGGTACAATTACTTTGAAGTCTGTTAATCTGACTGACAAGTGAAAACAGGATCAACAATTAAATATTTGAGCCTTGTGGAGGCTTATGTAGAGGAAAAAGTAGCAAAGACGATACACAACTATGCAAAAAGTAAGGCAATATTTTATGTACAAAAGTGAGGACTGTGAAGAATGCCTAAGAAAATAGAAGTTCAATAAAAGCTGACCACTGAGGTGGCAGAGCTTCACTACTTTAAATGGTTCAAGAGTAATCCTAATGCACTTTCTTTCATCATCATGACATAGAACATAGATTTTACTGTGAAGACTGACCTCTTTTTCTGTCAGCTCAGCTTGTAAAGCATTAACTTTCTCCTTCAGGTCTTTGTTTTCTTTTTTATAAGATTCGATTTCTTCAAGTCTTTCTCTGTCATCTCGCTCCCTTTGCTCCTTCAAGCGCTCTATTATTCTTTCCTAACAAGGGAAAGGATTGCAAAATGCAAAAGTTGGGAATCATTCTAAGAAAAGCAAGAATAAAATTTCTTTACATTAAGTAGCACTTAGAAAATCAACCTTCAGAAGCAGAGGATGACTGATAAGTTAATGATATTAAAGTCAGTGGAAGAGTTCCCCTGCTTTCAGTAGCATCAGATCAAGGTTTTCAATACTTGATGAGTGTACACTCAAGTGTACACTCATAGTACAGAAGCTTCATTTAATATCTATATTGCTATGAATATGATTAGTCTTGTGATAAATATGGAAAGTTATTCATCCTAGTAATGCATTTGCTGATGCAGAAAGACACAGAAAAGATACTCTGATACGACTTATATTATCCAAAGGAAGATTCTTCTCCATCTAATTAATAGTGACCCTACACATATTTAAACTCAACCATGTTTTTCAATATTTTGATGACTTCTTTTGACTATTATAAGGATTGCTAGAAATCATCAGTCAGGGACTGGGTGTTTAATTCAAAAGGTAAATGCAAAAATCACATACAGTAGTATGGTTTTGTTAAGCCTTGACTACATTCTTCAAAATCACATTCTACCAATACTCAAAGAATGCAAATACTAGACAGAATAATATTTAGGGTAAAATAAAATAACCACTGGAAGTAAATTTGAATTGGTAATAGGCCAATTTAAGCAGAGTTATCAGTGGAACTACTAGAGCAATCTTGGAAGTGGTTATCAGGGAATCAAGAAAAGCAACGTAATTTAGGAAAGTTAAATGAACATGGGACAAAACCACATCCTGACTGAAGTTCTACGGTACCAGTGGCAAGGCTCAGGTAGAGCCATTAGCATTCTCATGGATCCTATTCAAATCATTTTGTACTTATGCTGGAAAACTCCAAGGAGGAGCATAAGAATAGGATCAATGCTTAAAATAATATTTCACATAACTATAAAGTCTGATGGAAGCTTAATATTATTAGAAAAAAGAGAAAAATATCTTATGCTAATTCCCTCTGTCCATGACTCCTTATACTGTGTATATATATATACATACACACACATATATACATACTGCACATATATACACTTCATTCTACTGCCAGTACAGTACACATATGCACACAAGGTTTTCCTTTACCCATATCAATGTACTCTCAGCTGTGGTTATTATACCTCAGCAATCATTACAATGCAAGCAATATTTCAGCAGCTGCACATCTCATTTTGATTTCCAATTAGCTTAGTCAATTTAATGAAAGAAAACAAAATTATTTATGAAAGTTAGCTTAAGTAGTAACAGCACTTTTAAAAAGCATCTATTGTGTGGACTATCCTGGTTATTCATTCATTTTGTCCACATGTTAGGTACAACGTTCCTCTGAACTCTAGAGGTCTTATGAAGATTGCTTCTGAACCTTCCAAAGCTCAACACACATCTTGCAAAAAGCCAACTGTCAATATTTATATGGTTTTTTTTAATTAAAAAGAAAAAAAAAAAAAAAGCCTAAACTCAAGGCTGTGCTTTTCATGCCAGCAGTCACCAACTTCAGAGATATTCAGAGTTGCACTGGACAAGATCTCGAACAAACTGCTATATTTGACCCTGCTCTTTGAGCAGGTTTGGACTAGATAATGTGCAGAGGTCTTTTCCAGTCACCGTGGTTCTGTGGAAAAGGCAGAAATGTTTTCAAGATTCTGCACCTCAAGCATAATTTGTTTCCCGTCTGCTCATTCTCCCTCTCCCTATTTTCACAATTCAACCCAATGCAACACTGACCAAATCAGCAATCCTGCTGACAGCAGTCCAGTGCCTCTGCTTGTTGTCTGCTCCTCCTTTTGTATTGAATAGGACTTAGTTACTAGAAAACACTGCATTTTCAGAAGACTGGAAAGTTTTCTGTAAATGTCCCCTTATATTTTCCATTTCTGTAGACCTACCTTTCACCAAGCATCCATTTACTCATTTTCCTATCATTTAAACACCGTATTTGTGGTATGGATTGGTATGTGGTATCGTATTTGTTAAGTTTAAAACTAATAATCAGTTTCTATGGATTTATGAATTGAACAAGTATTTTATTACTTTATATTACTGAATTAAAATTTGGTTACACAGAACACAATTTGACTTTACGGGGACAATATTTAAATGCCAATTCAGGAAATAAAAACATTCCACTTCTCATAGAGATCTAAACTTATTTGGAATGTCTCCAATGTTTGCTGTTGTTTATTAGAAAGGTAACTGCAGACCCCTCTGTATTTTCAATTAAGCATACTAGACTTTTAAGTTCAATTTTAATTTTTATAGCTCTTTACTTTTATTTTAAATATTTAAAAATAAACTTTCTTTTGTGTTATGTCTATATAGTAAACAATTTATTATGCAACATAGATTATGTAATGTGAGCTGTTAAAATATCAAAAGCAGATGTGGAGTATTAATGGAGTATACACATGCTTGCTAAATGAGTAATCTATTACTGTATGTGAAGCTAGACTTAAATGCAAAATGTGTTATATTTCAAATATTTTCCTTATAGAGCCAATTCAAACATTTATGTTCCTATGATAAATGATTTTTTTTTCTTCCAGTTATATAATATTGGCTTCCAGCTGTAACGCTTTGTTTTACCAATAGTTGGAATAAAAAAACAACATTACACAGTATTTTATAATGTTAAATATCATCAGGAGTTCTTAAACAATCAGATGAAGGTCTTTACTAAACAATTATGTTTGAGTTTGCAAATATATGTATTTGGAATCTCTTAGATATTGACATACAATCACCACTATATTGACTTATCTTGTATTAAGAATATGGCATAGTTATTATTTCCTACTGAATTCCTGAGGAAAACACCTTTCAAAAAGCTGGAAGTTCACACAGCTACTTTCATTCTGTGTCTAGTATTCCAGTGGCAACAGGGACTCCTTTCGTGAGCTTTAGCTATTGAATACGCCTATTACAGTACTAGTGTGACTGTAAGAATCTTCACATAAAACAGTAAAGACTACCACATATACTTATAGCCCTATTCATTTCATTCAGAAATATAAATTGATGGCATACTACATTCCACTTCATTCACATGGTACAAAAATTAAAAAAAAAAAAAAAAAAGAATTAAATGATATAGCCAAAACCATCTGGCTCAGTGTAATTAAACATTTCAAAGGCAGTATCAACTTGCTTGCACAGAGATACCTAAAACTATGAAGGTGAATGATGCCAGACTTCATACAGACCTCTGACTCATACATACCTGGTAGGACTTCACGTAGAAATATGTTCACGTAGAATGAAGGCAGTTGCACAGCAACATTGTTGAGTATTACACAAATGACAAACCAGCAAATGTAATTTTACTTTTAGCTGGCCTTTGCACTATATGATATGAAATATATGTATATATATATATGTATGGGATATTTAATAAGTCAGAGTTATTCCTAAAAAGAAATTATATAACTCCTTAATACCTTAAATATTAATGTTAAAATTACAATCTCCACTAAGTGGAACAGCTGTTCAGAATATATGTAGTTATTTTTATACTTAGTTCAACACTGGTTCCGTCCTAAAGATTTACTTAGCTAAGTGATATTTTCTGCTATAACAAATTAAACATACTATCATTTAATTTTATTAATAAAACAGTATAAATTTTTCCCTCAGTCAATCACAAAAGAAGACTAATTTTCCTGTCAGCTGCATAGGGCTAAATGTCAAAAACATGTTAAAAGGCCCTAATATACCACGTTTTACTTGATTAACAGCTAGCTTACAGAAATCCCAACAATGTGTTCTTGTTTCAGTCTTATTTGCATTGGCGAGCTTTCCTATGCACTAATCTAGGACCTCACAGGCCTAATCTATTTGCACTTTATCACAGAAGCGGGAACTGAATTGCCACAGCTTATAGCTCTATTATCAGGCATACTCAGTTACTTATCTGCTGTATGCTGCTACAGCAGGGCCAACTTTATAAATATCAGCTTCATGAAAGCAACCTCTTGAGCTGCTTTGGACCAGTGCAAGAGCTGAGATATTCTTTGAAAAGTTTCTTGTTAAAACATCAAGGGAGCTGATAGCAGTTTTGCATATTCTGATGTTAAAACTTTTTTTAATAGGAGTAAACTTATTTTTGGTTTATTGCAATGTAACCTCCATCATTGTTAAGAATTTTCAGCACCTAGTAGAGTGCCTGTGCTTACAGGTAAGGAATTGAATGAGCACATTTTTCAGTTTAGTTCTAAAATGTGCCCAACAGTGACTGAAGTTCTGTTGGTTCATTTCTGGTTCCTGACAAGGAAACAAATGATATCAGCAATATTGCCTGGAAAATAAAAAGAATAAATGGGTCCATTACTGTAAATTTTGATGGTTTTCATATGTCGATAGTTATTACTCATTTAGTGTTATTAAGCCACTTAATCACTAAATCTGAAAGAAAAAGAAAATCCAAGAAAAAACTTGGAATAATCTACTTCTCATGAAGAATTAGGAGCCCTATTTTCTAATTCAGAGCCTAAATCTCTGTCTGAGTATTTTCAAAAGCAACACAAGAAAAATATAAATGCTCAAACATGTCAGTTTGGGAACTTTTAAAAAGAGCTTTGTAACAATCTCATTATATGATTCTGTTGTAATATTTATCTCTTCCCATAGTAACTAAGAAAAACAACTAAATTTAATTTTCATGAATTGTGGTTAATTGAACTGGTATAAATAATTTTCATCACTATTTTAAAAGAGCTTCCCATGATGCTCTTGGACTTGTATTTTTCAAATAAAATTCTAACAACTTGTGAATTGATAAAGAATTAAGGTAAAGCCAAAAACCATGCTTAACATCAGAGATGATGTAGCTGAGTGGGAGGAGCATAAGCTTATATGGTATTTAAACTATAAATAATAATGGGTATATAAATTCGTCAACCATTGCATTGCCATGGAAATTGGGTATTCTTGAATGAAAGCAGCATCTCGCTTGCCAG